AAAAAAAAAAAAAAAAAAAAAAAAAGCTGAGAAGTACAGACACTAGAGGGCGCACTGAACATTTGGAAAACCTTGTGCAAGTTGCTGAGTAACTCCTATGAACTCCTGCCCTTTTTCCTAAAGCATGCCTTGTCCCAGGCATAAATCCGTTTCTAGACTGGAGAAAGAGAGTGGTCAGTCCCCTTAAGTGGGAGTCTGAGAAGGTCCTTGGCGCATGTTCTAGTGAAGATTCTTTTTGTCCTGAATTCAACTTACTGAACACCTACTAAGTCCTAGACACTGAAGCATTGGCCTCCCCCGCCAGAGACCTATGGGGCTGACCCACTGCAAGCCTCTGACCCCTTTTACCATATTTTAGCTTTCTCTCTCATTCTAGCTGTTGCTTTTTAAAAATTTATTTTATTTTAAATTTATTTATTTTGAGAGAGAGAAAGAGAGCGCATGGATGAGTGGGGGAGGGGCAGAGAGAGAGGGAATGAGAGAGAATCCCAAGCAGGCTCCACACTGCGGGCCTGGAGCCCAACACAGGGCTCGGCGGGGCTCAACGCAGGACTCAAACTCACGAACCATGAGATCATGACCTGAGCCGAAATCAAGAGTTGGTGGATCAACTGACGGAGCCACCCGGGTGCTCAGTGGGGGGAGACGGACAGAGGGAGAGAGAGAATCTCAATCAGGTTCCACATTCAGCGTGGAGCCTGATGTGGGGCTGGATCCATGACCTGAGCCGAAATCGAGGGTGGGACGCTCAACAGACGGAGCCACCCAGGCAGCCCTAGCTGTTGCTTTTTATTTTGAAAAGTTGTAAAATATAGGAAAACTCACAGAATAATATAATAAACACCAGTGTAGCCACCACTCAGACTTAACCATCTTCTTAATTTTTTTGAACATTTATCAATCGCTTCCTATGGACTAATCATTGTGCTAAGTGTTTTACGTACGTTTAAAACAACACTTTATGGAGAGATATTAACATATCCATTTACAGATGACCTCACTCCCCCCTAAGGTTACTTAGGTTAGTTAGTGGTGAAGCTAGGACATAAACCCTAGTCTGCCTGGCTTCGTAATCGATGCTCCTAAGCACACAGTATGTATCCAAGTGGGGTTAGTGGGCCAGTTGCAGTAGAATCATCTGGGATGCTTGTAAAATGCAGATTTGGGGGCTCACCCGGACTTAACTAGAATATTTGGTGGGTGTGAGCAGCGAAGATGAAGATCTCCAGAATATCCTTATGCATAATTAAGTTGGGGAAATTCTGTTTTAGAATTTCCAAGGCTTGGTGACCTTTATTTTAAAAGTGCTCAGGGGCCCCTGGGTGGCTTAGTCTGTTGAGCGTCCGACTTCGGCTCAGGTCATGATGTCGAAGTTTGTGAGTTCGAGCCCTGCGTTGGGCTCTGTGCTGACAGCTCAGAGCCTGGAGCCTGCTTCGGAATCTGCCTCCCTCTCTCTCTGCCCCTCTCCTGCTCACACTCTCTCACTCTCTCTCTCTCAAAAATAAATAAACATTAAAAACATTTTAAGTGCTCAGTTCACCCCAGAGCTGACTACATAATTTGTGGGGCTCAATGCAAAATGAAAATGTGGGGCCCCTTGTTCAAAGACCAGGAAAAAAACATGCCATTGAAAACACTAACATACAAAACTCTTCTCTTTCTTCTGTGGTCTCTTGAGAGCTATCATGGTGTTTTTAGTTTATTACTTAATGTCACGCTTTCTCAGGTGCGGGGGATATTTGTTGGGAGAGTGCAGACACTAATGGGTGCCCAGGAACCACACCCTGTGATTTAGCATGCAAGCACAAATGCCCCTGGCCCTCAGGTCCCCTCTCCCACCAGCCCCAAGGGAAGATAAGACAATCTTCCCTTCTCACTGGCCCACTGCAGCGACCAGCAGCGGAGGGGGGATTCCCAAGGGATTACAGCTTCCATGCCAGGATGTGCTTGGTACCTGGAATGGAGGTGGGCAAGAAGCTTGCTCCCACCATTCACCCTCCAAATGTGCTGTGACAAACATCTGGTCCTCAGATGCTCTGTGGCCCTGACCCGTCCCCAAATGGCATAGAATGCGTGCACCCAACCTCAAGCCTCCCTGCGCCTGTGCAAGAGGAGGGTGACAATGGTAGCTGTTGGAGACGAGGACGGAAGTATGCCAGCGTGCCACGGGTTGAGGGGTGGCAGTGGTCATTGGGCAGGGGGGACAGGGAGTGGGAGGGTCAAGAATCCATCCCCAGGAGGTGGGGAGAGGTTCCAAGCTCTCAGCGCAGGGCTGCTCCACTGTCTCATCAGACTTCAGTTACAAAATACAAAGCATTAAACTCCAAATTCGGGACCTTTCCAAAAGCAAGGCCCCACGCAAGTACACTGGTCACAAGCTCATGAAGCTGGCCCTGACCCCAAGGGATATTTTATCACTAAGCAAATTTGGGCAACACTGTCCTACACGGATCTGAATGGTCACATCTGAAGACACCTGTTCTAGTAACTGGAGTTCTTTTTCTTTTTCTTTCTTTTTTTTTTTTTTTTTTTTTTTTTTTTTTTTTTTTTTTTTTTTTTTTTTGCCAATCGCTGACTGGTATTAGAAATTTTAGCAAATATCTTTGCCAAGAAAAAGCCCTAAAATATATTTGCATTTAAAGATATTACATTGGTTTTGGAATGTTTGCTTGGCTACCTCAGGATCACAGCTATCTAAATACGAGCTATTTGGGGATGAGCTGTCTGCTTGGCCAAGGACAAGTTCTAGTAAGACATCCCTTTGGCAAATGAAGGGGAAAATGGGAGGGCATGTGCTCTGAGCAAAGCATCCAAGTTCTGATCTGTCAAACATTTTCATGTTTGTCCAATCCTAAGAGGAGCCTGTTTTCTCTCTTTGTGACACATGCACAGAGGCACGCCCAACACACCCACCTCCAGCCACAAAATACACATACACAGAATAATAGTCTAAATGTTCTAAAATAGTTTTGTGGGGCCAGGTGAGATTACATATGTCATCGTCTTATTTCTCTTAATTGACACTTGAGCTAGGGAAACTAGAGGGTTACTTTTTCCAGGTGAAGATATGTCTATAGTCTTAGGACCTTCTTCTAAAACCTTTTCCCCAAACCTCCCCTCTTCCAATAAAAAAAAAGAAAGAAAGAAAGAAAGAGAAAGTTCTGATTCATGCATATGGTAACTGCATGCTGTCACGGGCGTGTGTCCTAATCAAATGGAAAGCATTGGGTGCGTGTAGGTAGCTGCACAGGTCAAGAGCTCGGGTACCTTCAAGGACAGCTTCAGGTTAAGCTGAGGAAAGCCGAGACTGGGGAAAATGTGAAGACAGTTTAAAGATCATTTAGGCCAAGAGCAGAAGAAAGAAAAGACAGTGTTTCTAAGACATTTTGCTGGTTGAAATGGTTGAATATTGGCAATTGCATATGAGACAACCTAATACAAAGGTCACTTGGTGCCCACTGTATTCCATTTTTTTTTCAGTTTGGTAGAAAGATTTCCCAATTATTAAATGTAGAATAAATATGGCTCGGGTGCCTGGGTGGCTCAGTTGGTTTCGGCTCAGGTCATCATCTCAGTTCATGAGTTGGAGCCCTCCGGGGCTCTGAGCACTGACAGCACAGAGCCTGCTTGGGATTCTCTCTCTCCCTGTCTCTCTCTCTCTCTGCCCCTCCCCGTCTTGCTCTCTCTCTCAAAATAAATAAATGATCTTTTTTTTTTTCAACGTTTATTTATTTTTGGGACAGAGAGA